GGTATATTTTTACGCTTGGCTCTTCTTACTGTTTTCTTTTGGTGTTTCTCTTTGGCGGTTTTGCCTATTTATTGCGCTCTGCGCTTTGTCTATGTGCTTCGCCTCTGAACTTGAGAGTCGAGAAGCGACCACGTGGTCGGAACGAATGTCGCGCTATGTGGATTCCAAGCGTGTGGGCGCTGTTTGTGTGGTGTGTGGATGCCATTCCCGATCGCGCTCTTGTATCTTGTGAATATCTTGGATCTCGACTTCAGGAAGTGCTTCATCAAATTTACATATGCGCCACTCTCGCTGCCCCAACATATTTGCATATTAAACGGGCCCGATGCGATACGATCCGCTCAGAACCCGCCCCTAGACGATCGACAGTCGACAGTCACTTTCCAACAACACAGTTTCCCCCGTCACTGGGGCGGCCAATCTAAGTCGCACTTCTATCAGGAATTCCCGTAACATTCTCTCCGGAGGAGATTGTGGGCCGTGGGCAGGTACAACACCATCTGGGCATCTGTGCATCAGTGTATCTGTGTCTGTATCTGTGTGTTGCGTCAGTTCTGGTCAAATCGTGCGCTTTTGCGGCCTGCATCAATTACGTCGTTAAATTAATCAGTTTGCCTTAATCTCAATAAATTAGAGATAACGCTTACGCGATAGTTTTTTCTTCTTTTTTTTTGCATTTTAAATGCCACACGCTACCGGTACAGTTATTGGAAATGGGGTCCAGTGCGAGTACTACGATGTGAGTGTCGTTCCGCGCCCGAAAGCCTTCACATCCATCCCCATGTCCATGTGTAGTCTGATCTGTGTTGTGTATAAGTGTGTGTTCGCAAGAGACAGGGGCGTAGCAAAAGGGGGATCTATATTGTGGATGAAGAACCATCACTGATAGGCCACACTGGGAAAGAAAGAGTGGGAGAACGAGTGCGAGGTATACTATATTATATATAAACTGGCTATAATAATTATCCGACATAATAATATGATATGAGAATGATGGGAGTAATCCATGAATTCCTTCAATGTCCTACTACTTTTACATCAGTCTAGGATGCTTTATGGCATTTTCTTCATTCTCTTGTTATCGTTCATGCCATCTTCTTATTATAATCCCCCTTTAAGAGACTTCCCCGCCTACGCCTTTGGTCTGAAGCATCCCATGTGGGGCCACATTAGGGGGGCTCGCTTTTGACAATCATACATACGTGTGCTTACATACATATGTACCCATGCATATATGTAGATACGTACATCTTTATTTATTTGCTATATTCCTGATTGGCGCTCATCAACATTCAGCATCATCTCGCTACAAACGTCACAAAATCTTGTGTTCCTTCCACGAAGCAATAGCACTGAAAAAATACCGTTTCAGATACAGTTGATCAAGCGGATTATGGGGAATTATTTCCAGTATTGTTCATAATGGAACAAATGTGTGAAATTCCAAAGGAGTTGATTTACTGAAGAAGAACTGAATGAAGAACTCTTAGAATGAATAAGACCAAAATACTGAGGCAAAAAGGGCTGGAAGAAAGATATTTGAATGGGATTTCGCAAAAAAGAAGCTCTCCACTGAAAGATCTTTCCCTCTTTATCGCTTAACCCCCACTTTGCTATCAATTATGAACCTAAAAAGTGTGTGCTCAATGCAAAAACACACACAATGAGCTCTATAAATTGTTGAGCTAACAAATTGTTACTAACAATATTCAAATTTCCATAAAAGACACTCGCACACACACAGGCGGAGAACCTATAAACAAACATCGGGCGAGGCGAAGCGAAGCGGGCCAACTGGAGCCCCAAACATCAGACCACCAGCAATACTTAGCACCAACGAGACCCCCAAGACCCCACCCCCTAACACGCCGCATACCAACACACTGTCGAGTCGAGACATTAAAACAGAAATTATAATTTTTTGAAGGCCAATCTGCTCTGTGTGCTTCGGTTTCACTCGCTTCGGATCGTGGCGGCTGTTCGGGGGGCTCCAACCTCTTTCTAATGTCAATTGCTACGATACTACGTCGTCGATTGCTTGCTCTTTTTTTTTGGTCGCGGCTCAAAAGCTTTGCGCAGGCGCAATAAGAGAAATGCGACGCTTGTGTTTGAGAGAGTACGTCACTGGAGGAGCTGGTTGGCTCCGAGGCAGCATCGTCACGTCACTCATTCGCTCGGCTTCGATTTTTGGCGCGCAATTTGAAACCTGAGTTAATGCCTTGCGTGTCCAGTTTGTCAAATTTGGCAGTGATTACGAGAGGCAGACAGACTGAGACGGGGATGGAGAGCCAGTCTCCCGCCAACGGGCGTCGACAGTTTGCAATTCGCCACGCGCCAACGCAAATGAATACGCTTTATACACCCGTACAATATTTATACCCTCTCCACGAAGAGTACACGGGTATATTACATTCTTGTAGGTGTATGTAACAGCCAGAAGGAAGAGTTTCCGATTCTATAAAGTCTGTACTTTACCTGTATCTGCTTATATTCTTGATCAGCATCAATATCTTCAATAGTCATGCGCCTGGCAGTCTCGTTCTAAAGATACTTGAAAGCCGTAAATACAGAATAATAAAGAAATATTATATCTTCCAGTTTGCAGAAATACATTGCGATGGGATCACTATTAAAGCCGGAATGCACAACAAAAGTTGAAGCGCATCTGTCTTTTGGTTGTTTGAACACCTGGCTTTCGTACAATATTAATTCTAGCGCATACTATTAGCATCCAGTCGGAGATCAAGTATCGAGTTGTACGTAATTTGGTTGATATTTTGGCAATGGATAGAAAGGAACCTATCAAGGCTACATATTCTGGATCACCATCAAAAGACGAGTCGAGCAAGTTCCTGGATGTTTAAAGACTTTTTCCAACTTCGGTTGTAAGATGAATTCTTTGAAAGATATACTCAAAAATTCTACATTGTATAGCCTTCATAGAATTAAACAGTCCTCAAGGGTATCTTAATCTCCGGTTCCCAAAACAAACCTCTCTTAAATGTTTCTGGCGGCAATTATGGTCAAGTATTGGAGGGGTTTTGGTGGGGGCCAGGTTAAGACGTTTGTGTAATCTGAAAGGAATTTCTTGCGATATGAGTAGGCGATTGAGACACTGTTCGATGTTCGATTGGTTCTAATAAGCTTTGACAGGCATTCACTTAGATTTTATTTCTTTCTAAGGAGTACTCCTTGTGCCCAAATGTTATGGTCTGTGATGCCCCAATAGAACTTACCTATACCAAGATTTTACTTGCTTAAGCTCTACCTTTATAACCTGGAAAAATATAACTTTATAAAGGTTTATCTTTATCGTTTGTAGCGTAGCATTTGTAAATCCCTAAGGTTCATAAAAAAATTCTTGTTTGTCATTTTGTTTTGCTTGAAAGCACCTCAGACTGTATGACTTTAAAAACTTCCAGTTAATGTTTGTTCAAAGATATAATTTTAGGGTTTTGTTTCTATCTTATTTTTGCTTAGTAAATTGCTCCACTTTCGAAATCCACAAAAAATTGTCAATATTTTAAATGGATTCTTCACATATATCATTGGATTTCCTGAACGATTTGAAATCGTCTCTAATCCACCTTAAGCACGTTTGGCGACTCATCTCGGGACTGGGCAACGAAGTTAAATTTTAGACGATCCATAAAGTGGTGGATCGGCCACAGCGTCTAGACTTCATTAGCCGTGTAATGTTGCGGAATTTATGTGGCAGGCACATTAAAAAAACACCGATAAACACTCGCACGAGAGCCAGTGCCCGGGGCCCCGGGACTAGGCGAATATGCCTAAACTGGTACTCTGTATAGATACGGAGGGAGGTGGGCTGGTGAGGTAGATGTAGAAAAAAGCTATGGTAATAAAATACTTGTTCCCAAAAAAGCTCAAAGGCACGCATACACTCTGACACAGATTCATTTTCATATTAGAGATTTTTTTTTTATCCAATTTTAATCGGGAATAACTATGTTTTGGTGATATTTAGAACGATTTTGTTCTGTTTATATGATTGAAATCGATTAAATATCATCTGTTTATGCGAAAATATTCTTTTGAGAAATAAAAGTAAGAGATTCAAGAAGTATTATAAAACTCCTTTAAAAATCGTGGAATTACGATACTTTTCATATAAAAATATTATATTGCAAGTTAGAACTTGAATGATCATCAGGTCAGAAATGTGCAGCGCTGGCATTATCAGTGGAATGCAATTTCGGGAAATTTTCCATCACGAGACAATCGACGGCATAAAATGAGTGGAAGAGAGAGGCCCTGAGTGAGAGGAAGAGAGGGATTTTAAGAGAACACTAGAGATAGAGAACTCGAGAGAGAAGAGTAATTTCTGAGATAACAGCTGCGTTGCCTACGTTTTCTTATCAGCAATGCCAAACGCGAAACCACCCAACGAACCAACCCACCCAATCACTGACCCATCCACAATCCACACACACACACTCCCCACAGCTCCACAGCCCCACCTCACCGCCTCTATCAAATACCCCTCTCCGCTCCTGACAGACCGCTCTCTGATCAGCTTTCGTCGAAGAATGTACAAAAGGCATCAAATTTAAATTCCAAATGTATAAAATAGGTAAACTATGGCTTTTATTTCTTGATATCTACTGTACTACTACATATATGTACATTAGTATGTGTGTGTGTTTGTACAAAAAACGTGAAGAGTGAGCGGCAAAAAAAATAAAATAAAATAAAATAAAAGGCGGTTGGGTTGTTTTGTGTTGTGTGTGAGTGGAACGTAAGTGGGAGCACCGTGTGGAACTTGAATGGCCAGCAACGGAGAGCAAAGCTTGTTCTCTCTCGCTCTCTCTCTTTTCCGATTGTTGCTTTGCTTCGTTTCCTATACGAACGACGTAATACAAGCACATACACACGCACACCAGAACGACCGCCTTTTTGCGCCACGAAACGAATGAACGATTGAACGACTGAAACGACGAATCAGTGTTCACAGTCGGCATCCAACTTTCCAACTAGAAGCAGCAGCGTTAACGATAGTCTTTGCGCGGTTAAAAGCCACGAGGTCGTTCATTTAAACACTACTTAACCAAAACTTACCCCACCGTCCACCCACAAAAGCCACGACCGATCATGCGTTTGGCAAAAAAGAAAATAGAAAAAAAAGTGAAAGAATTGTGCGCCATCAGAAACATGTGAAAAAAGTGTCCAGACCAAAAAAAAACAAAATTCAAAAAACTAAAGCGTAAAAAGAACGCGTTCCGTAAAGCGTAGCGTAAAGCGAAATAACAGCAAAAAGAGAAAAGAGAGAGAGAGGGAGAGAGCAACAGCGTATATACGTAGTACGATGCTTGGATGATCTTCGTCTCGAAGAAGTCACGTTGTTGTATTTTTCTATATAAAACGTATGGCGGGTATATGCGATTTTTTATTTTTTTGGCTTTGGGGGAACAAATTTCAAATTTCAACACGCACACCATTTCGGCGGTGGTGGGGCTGTGTGTGTGTGTGTGTGTGTGCGCAAATTGGAGTAAACCTGAAACGTGTTTATATTAAAAATTTGTTTTATTCCCCTCCCATTTGAACTTTAAACAACATTTTCGGTTTTCATTGAATTCTCATACGAATTCCAATTAAACTGTTGTATGTGTGCGAGTGTGTGTGTGTGTGTGCGTCCAATTGGCATGAATTGATGACGTGACGCGATCATGATCCAAACGCACTCTCTTTGAGTGCTTCTCTTTCAGCCTCTCTCTTATCGTTTCGCGTGTGTGTTCCTTTGTGTGTGCTTTTCTCTTCTTTGTTGTACTTTGCTGCTCTCTAGTATTGTTTTTATTTATTTCTCTTGAATTTGATTGTAATTTTCAAGTATTTTTGTAAATACAGCTTAAGCAAAACCGCCGCCCAACAAAATACCCAAAACTGAGCAAAAAGTTATGCCTATTCAAAACCTGTAGGGATCTGATAATAATCCATATAAAAAGTCAAGAAAGCACAAGTTTTGCTCAAAACAACAACCTCATCAACTATAACCAGAAATACCCCATAAAAAACCCCATTAAAAGTGCAAAAATACAAAGTAAAACAGTGCCAATTAACAGAAACTAAAAAACATAAATAAATCGTCATCGGCAGCAGACATAATAACTATTATCTACAAAATATCACAGTCAACAAGGAGCAACAGTTTGCTGAATAATTTCCACAACCATTTGGCACTTTTTTGGCGGGTAAATAACTAAAACTATAACTAGAACTCGAACTACACAAATGTACATAATTCCGAGTAGAAAAATATATTTTGTATCAATAATATTTATTCTATACATGGAGCAGAGCTTTGGAACTGCTGCAGATCTATAGTTTCTAAGAGAGGGGTCTTCTTTTAAAATGTAGAGCCTTGACACTTTCCTTCTAGGAATGGGTTTTTACTAGAATTGGTTGCCAATTATATTGTATTGTCTTTGATAAATGGTACTAGTGGATAGATGTTCTATGAATTATTTCGGTTGGGTTGGGTTCTACTTTGGGAATTTTTCCGCTCTTACCAGTAATATTTCAGCAAGGAACGATAATTTTTCTTTCCTAAAATTCCTCCAAAATTTTTGAAGCAAAACCGTGTTTCGCCTTTTCAAGATCAATAAGAAAGTGAGTTTCATTTAAATGATGAAAAGCAAAGTCACGTTCGACTGGCATTCTATGGCACTCGTGCGGGATTTTATTAGTTTGGTTTTTGTGTTCATTTTATTCGACTGTTTAGTGTTGAGAGAAGGGAACCTGGGCGGATCGGTGGGGAGATCTTAATTAGAGCACTGCTGATAATGGCTCTAAAAATAGAAACTTCAGCGCCACACACCATCCACTGATAGCGCACTGGAGCCCCCGATCCCCAAACCCCAAACCCCGAGCCACGAGCCCCGCGCCCCTGCCCCGAGTGTCGTGTGTCACGCTTGTACATACATACTCGTAGTTTGCTTTTGCTGTTTATGTTTCCCCGATTTCCCCCCGATTTTCGATTCGCTTGCAACGAGTACGACTAAAGTACTAGCATGTTTCCTTATTTTTAAACCACATTTTGGGCACATTATTGACATTGAAATGCGATTAGGTTTCATTTTAATAAATGGGTTGAATACGCCACTCGGTTTGCCTGTCAAAAAGAGTTCTTTATGATAAGGGTTTCTTTTTTGTATCGCGGTACGGTGCCAAGGTACAGAAGCTGATGGCCCACAGTGGGTCTCTGTGTGGCTGTTATCATATCTTGAGTGTTTGCTGGCCAAAACGGTAGAACGTGCCGCACTGATAAGGTTTGTGGAAAATGTGCTAAAGTTTGTTGAAAACTGTTGCAATTAGAAGATGGAAGAAAGTAGGGAAGGGAAGAAGAAAGGAGTGAGAGGAAGGGGGATGAATGAAAGATTACTCCTTTGCTGCACATCTCTTAAAAGAATGATGGAATATTTATCAATGAAATGTGCCAAAGAATCGATGATGGTTTAGTGTCAATTAACGATGTCATGAAAATAAATACCAAATCGAACCAAATATCATTTTCAAGTGGAACTAAAGATGCATGAAATAACCACCGATCCACATCACACACACTATCGAATCCGCATTCAGTTGCTACCTCAAGATCATCCTCAATTGCGATGATTAACTGGAAAGAGGATGATCACATCACAAGTTTTCCATCCATCCATCAAACCGTCGATCGATCCACTGGTGCGCTTCGGAATCGTTTTGCTCTTTAATTATTTTAATGAATTCTACAAACATTGCACGCGCTCTTTTGCCTACTTCCTACATTTGCATTCGCCGCTGCTGCTGCTGCTGCTGTGCTGCCGCTGCTTTCCTCCTTCGGCGACTGTGAACTATTGCACATTGCCTTTGTGCCGTCGCCGCCGCCGCCGCACACTCTGGTGCTCCCCGCTCTTGGTTCTCCCTTGAACCGCTCTCTTTCCTAGCGCGTGTTTCTCTCCCAAGCCGCCACGTGTGTGTGTCAGGGGAGGGGGGGAAGGAAGAGATAGAGAGCGGGATGGAAAGAAAGGGGCCAGAGGCTCTGGGCTGGGCTGTTAGCTAACTGCACTTTCAATAAGCTTTTATTTGAATAAGCTTCCGCGATAATTGACTTAATAAATTATTAAATATTAACAGCGTAGAAAAAACCAGAATGCAGTGGGAATGCAGGCACTTGTCGCGGAGAGGCGAGTGCTCCCAGCTGCTGGAATGAAAAGTAATGAGAAAATTATGGAAAGCATTTCCCTCTTGCCCTTTTACACGTGCTGTCCCCCACCTCTATCTACTACGCAGAAAGAAATTGCAAACAAAATTAGAAGGAAAGTGGAATGCAGATACAGATGGAAATTGTGGCATAAATAGATTTTGTTGACCAAGGTTTAGGTTTTTGGCATTGTCAAGGGGTTAAAGCCGTATAGCTTGGGGCAGAGATAGGAGCAAACGATAGGAGAGAGAGAGAGAGCGAGAGATAAGCGCAAGCCACAAAGGGACACAGAGAGGGACAGCAGCATACCATAGCAACAGTTATAATGTGCATAAAAATATGATGTGCATTTTGCTGTTGCTATTCCTCTTTATCTTTGCTTTTATCTGCCGCTCTCTCGTTGCTGTTTTTGATAAGAAACGCACAGAGAGAGAGAGGAAGAGAGTGGTAAAAGGGGAAGGATTACACGAATATAATTCAAACGTTTCGATACGCTGGAAAGTAAATCCATGGAAGAATCCGTGGAATTTGAAATCCATTTAGGATTCAGGGGAACATGGAATTCATTGAAGAATCCAGTGGAATAAGATCCTGTAAAAGTAGAACCTAGTTTTGTATGTTATATTTTTAGGACTAAAAATATTTCGAATGGATTGTATTCTTAAGACGACCTCATTCCGAAACTTTAAAGATAATTCAAACAACTTTAAAGTTCTTAAACCCCGTCTTCCATATCATTTTCTCGAAAAGAGTGTAAGAATGCAATCCAATTTCAAGCTCTTTATCAGCAGGTTAGCTTTTGCTCGGAATATACCTAAAATACTTAAAAACCAAAGGTCGTTCCGGCGTTATGGAGGGTGACAAACCGCATACTGACACACAGACATGCAACACACATGCACAGACGAGTAGAGTATAGCGGACAAGTGACTTCGATGTGGCCTCGTCATCGACATCATCATTATTATCATTATCATTATGATCCCCCACATTGTAGGGTCGCGAGGTGCTTGGGTTTTGGGCTCTGGGCTTGGGCTGGGGCTGGGGATTGATGTCGTCGTCGTCGTCGGCTCATTAGGCAGAGGGCCGACCAGACCAGATCAGTGCAGACCATACCAGTTGTTGCTCTGTGTATTGTATCTTCGATGCCGCTGCTGTCCGATCGACCAGCTGTCAGTTTTGCCTTTTTTTTTCTCTCTGTTTTAGGTTTCTTTTTTTATGCTGGATTTTTTCTTTTTTTAGTTATTGGCTGGTGAGAGACCTTCTCTCGAGAGTTGACTTACTTTGCTTTATAATCCTGTTTGACGGGTTACGGCTGCTGTGGCTGCTGCTGCTGGGGAGTAGATCTCTTTTACTTCCACATTGCTGAACCAGGTCTTATGTGAGAGGGGCAAGAGCCAGGCCAGGCCAGGCCTGGTCAGGGGACAGGCATAGTAGGCATACCAGTAAGAGTTTCCATGCATACGAATATAATCACATGGTTTTGAGGGGCAGAGCCTCGCATCTGGCAGATAGTTTTGTGATCCCGGTTCGTGATCTTTCGGTGTCCCCTTAAAATGATAAGCAGAGTGACAGCAGCAGCAGTGGCGGAGCTGTCAAGGGAGGGTCAAGAAATGCCGCAGGGCCTGCCATGGTGGCGGGTCACCATTGTGACCTTTCAGTTTTTAATCCTTCCTAACGTTATGCTGGGATCGTTTGATGTTAAATATAGAGAAAAGGATATACATACGTCATAATTTTTCTGGATTAACCTCAAGCTCAGAATGAAGTTCTACCATTGTCGGGGTCACCAATTTGAGGATAACTTCATATTTTGTACTTCCTTAGACATTGAATGCATTTTGCATTTAAGAATCCTTTGACAAAAATATTATAGGTCACCATTTTTTGAAACCCTTTTCGGGGTCACCATTTGATATAGGCCATATATTCTCTGGACTTTCCGTTTACTTACCCAATACAAAATTTCCTTTGCATTCTTTTGATGTTTAATTTTCTGGGTCATCGTTTTATAGACTCATCATTTTGGGTCACCATTTGGTTGTGGCCTTTAACTTTGCATTCTTTCTTTTAATGTTTAACCCGATAATCTGTGGATTAGCCTAGATTAGAGTTAATTTGTTTAATTTGCTTTCTATTTATAGCTAGAAAACTATGATTTGACCTACTTTTCACTGATTATGATTATAATGGCCTCCGCCCCAATCATCACTCCCTTAATGTGTTGCCTACGCCCCTGACTCCTACAACTTCGTGGCTTATCATTTGATCTCCACGAAGAGGGCAAGTTTCGTCTCGGGTCTTGGGAGCAGATGTTCTCAAAGTCAAGAGATTCTTTTTTGGTAGAACTGTAGGCGCAGCGCTGATAGCGGAACCAATACATATAGAATATTATGTTGTGTGTATGTGGGATCAAACGGAACAAATGAGAAAAGCTTGTGCGGAAAGCAGAACAGAGGAGAGCCGAAAAGAGAGAACTATTAAAGGAATTACGTAACAAGTGTTCGGTTTATTTTTGTTTTGTTCTCGCTCTGTTGTTTTTCTTTTCTTTCTTTTCGTTTCGTTTTCTTTTCTTTCCTACTTTTTGTTCTTATTCTCATTCAGATTCTGTTTTTATTTTCATTATATCTTTTTTTTATTGCCATCTTTATTTAGTTTGCTTTTGGGTGATTTTCTTTTTTTATTTTTATTATTATTTAAGATCTGTTTTTACCTTTCGTTGTCTGTTATGTCTCTATATACGATGCGTAGTATATTGTTTGTATGTGTAGTGGTGGGTTGTAGAAATTTTCAACTTGTTGCGTGCCCCATTTACCATAACAATTGCCACACCTCCTTAGAAATTTGAAAACCAAAAGAGACAGCCCGAGTCATTTCCCTAATGAGGCGCTTGTCAAATGAAATTTTCGTACGTTTCGTGCTGTCCGTGACATTGAAATACTTTGCCTCTCTCCCGGCACAACTGTTCTCTGCAAATTCCCCCATACAAATATTTTGTAATATACGAGAAGGAATAGATCTCGTACAAGACTATTTTCAAGGCTAATTTTTCCAACCGACACACCCACGCCGAGTGGAATGAATCATTTGATTTGTGAATATCTTTTAAAGATTACATATGGTTTATAGTTTGGTTTCTATATCGTGGGTTATGTCCGTCTGGCCAGCGGTTGTTTAGAAGTTTATGTACCTACCATATACTCGTATTTGCGATCATTAACATAATCTCTCACATGTTTATTCGAGAGTTGTTTTCCATTGATCTTCTAATTATCGGATCGGGGAAAAACACCTACGCAAATATGCGTCAGTCGAATGTTTTGCCTCTAATCTGATGTAATAAATGATATATGGAATACCCCATCTCTTAATCTTAATCTAAATCTCTCTCTTAAGTGGCTTCTCTTTTCATATCAAACGATGGGGCAAAAAACAAGAATCCACTTCCCAATCCACTATTTTCCCATCGATACGACGAATGAAGCTTTGTTTTTTCTTACATTTTGTTTTGATGTTATTGTTATTCTGTTCTGTTTTGTTTTGTTTTCTATAATATTATCAACTTCTATTGCATAGTATTCAATATATTCGCATTCGCAGTCGCATTTGGGGGACGTCTGTGCGACGCAATTTGCGCTTGGCCGAAAATAAAATTCACTCGAAGATTATATTTAACAGCCAAATATGCAAATAGCAGCAAATGCTCGTCTTAATTTACTTGAATTAGTTGGCAGCAATTAGAATTTTACACTCCCCCGAAATGGGTTATTTTTAGATGGGGAAACGCACTCTACGTCGCATTTGATACCCAGTAAAAGGGGGGTAAAATTGGTTTGTTGTTGTTCGGGAATCATATGTGATCTGAAAGATGATCTCTATCAAGGCTTCAATTAGAGGATTCTGGGAGGGCTGGAGAGAGATTTTTCAACATACGATAAAGGTGCAGCCCAATAGAAATGAATGCTGTGATACAGAAAGATATAATAACAAATGGTATGATGTGGAAAGGTATGACAAGAAATCGTACATTGAAAGTGGAAATCCATGAATATAAGGAAGTATACAGAAGAGTATCGAGAAATCAGAGTAATTCTTCTAATGAAGGGAGTAGAAGCGATGTTTTTTTTTTTTAGCAGTTATAAGAGAATCCATATAGCCAAGATCATGATTGAACTATGGTAGCATAGTAAATAGGTAGCATGTAAATAAAATATTCATAAATAAGGCTATAATATATGTATGTGGGATGTATTTACATATTTGGTTTAATCAGGGAGCGCTAAGAATTGCGCAAGTTTTATACTTAGGCCCCTTGCAGAGCATACCACGAATTAACCCTAACAATAGAGAAAGTAAAAAAATGACCCTCCGAAGGTAGCCAAAGGTGTGTGTGAACCGAAAGCATTAACCGAATCGTTGCTCGAAAAGGTGCTTCGTTTCCTCTCTCTCTTTCTCTCTGTCGTTGAAATATTGAGTAGAGAGTATATGCCATTCGATCATAGCTTCTGCTGTACTTTGATGTGTGTTTTGTGCTTTCTGTGTTCCCCCTCTCTCCCGCTCTTTCTCTTTCTTTCTTTTTTTGACAGCCTCTCAAAGTATTTCTGCTTTGATTTTTGTTTCTGTTACTCGCGTGGTGTTTTGCAGTTGTAGTTTTGTAGTAGTGGCTTAGGTCAGGTTGTTGGAATGTTTCTCTACCTTTTTCTGTTTCCAATTCGTTTTTTTTTTTTGCTTTTGCTTTGGGTTGGGGTTGGGGTGGGGGCACCATTATTTGCGGCCATAAACCTTTCGCTGGAAAGATATTATATAATGACAAAAACAACGACGACGGCGCGCGACCTTATCTAAATAATTACGTTATTTAAATACGCACACAACCCCATGCATATAAGTAGATAGTACATAATTTTATGGGTTTTTGGCAAAGTCTAAGGTTTGAGACGGCAGGCAGCAGCCCAGAGATGATTTCTTGGAACAAAAATCGTTCGTTGTTCAGGTAGGCCGAACGCCACGAATGATTTTTAGGTACAACGAAAGAAAAAAAAGATCCCGAATGAATGAACTTCCGTGTTCTCAAGGCAAACGCTTCGGCCCCCGCCCGCCCCCGCCCCTTCTCTTTCGCACACTCTCTGCTCGTATCTACCTCTCTTCCTCTCTATTTATGTGTGTCGTTCAATGAACAAAAATATATGCGAATCTACGCACACGCAGATATGATTGAGTGCCGTGTGTGCGTGTGTTTAATTGAGTTACGCGCCTTTACACACACACACACTTTTCAATTTGTTTACAATATCACAATGAAGAGAGGGAGAGAGGAGTGAAGAGCAGTGCGTGCGTGTGTGTGCTCTTTACTTCGATTGAGCTTTTCGGCTCTCTTAGGCTAGAAGAGCGACTAGCGGGTTAAGCTTTGAAAGGTTTGACGTGAACATTCAAAGGGAATAATGCTATATTCTTGTATAAGAAAAAAGCTTGCACTCAAGTTTGATCGTTTTATGATATCTCCTTTAAATATCAGCTCTTGTGCAGTTGTTGGGTAATGCACAAGTCAGATTTTTCAAGTGTATTACTTTCTTTTGGTTAAAATTGCAACAGACAGAGTCCCCATTCCCTATCAAGGTTCCCGTCCGATGCTCGTCAGGCTTCAATAACTTATCAGCAGTAGTCTCCCGGTCTGTCCGCCCATTCCAGACAGTGTCAATAGACCTTTTACGAGAGTATATACACAAAAAGATTGTCTCTTCAGATCACACAAATATATATAGAGAGAAAGATAGACATGTTTGGACTTTTATTTTGATTACCCACCAAAATATATGTATACTATCAACAATTATACGGTCTCGGACATTGATAACTGTCGGTGGTCGCGTCGCCAGACTTTGAGACTAATTGAAATCGTTTCTATTCTCCGTTCTCATTCGTTCTGGTCAGTTCTGTGTGCTAAATTTAGTCATTCAAAGCATTCATAGATTTTATTAAAATTAATTGATTTTCATTCCACATTTCAAGCAGCCTCAAACAACGCGTACGTGTGTACGGAATAATATTGAAAATCATAGAAAATATGTGTGGCATTTTGAGAACAAGATCATAACCTACATTATCATCGCATCGTATCGCTCATTGCCGTTCGCTTGCTGTTTCTTCTCTCCCTCTCTCTCTCTTCTTTAACTTGGTGCCTGATAAGACGCTCTCTTCATTTCTTACTCTCTCTCTTTAACTAGTGTTCTCTCTTTATTTCTTTGTTATTACATTCTATGGATTATTATTTACGATTATCTCACCCAAAAATACCTATTGAGTCGAGTAATTCGTCTGTTTTTAGCGGTAGATTGGAATATCCCACAATAATCTTAAAAGATGTACTATTTTTAGTCAAAAGTTTAGGGAAAACCCTAAACGTCAGTTGCCTTAACGATTTGAAGGCACTCGAGATTTTGTATTTTTTGTAATCGTTTTCCGCACGGAAACAATCAGAATACAATTTCCCAATGAAATGATAAAACGATCACTGAATGATGTTGCACAAAGATACGTGTATTACAATGACTAGACACGAATTCAAGGTTGAATCTTCTCTTTCTTCTCTTCTTTCCAGTGACCAAAAGCACATCTTGAAGCGAAAGCTTTGCGTGTGTGTGTGTGTGTTTTTTTTCGGGCTGGCGAGGAGTGCTTGAAAAATCTGCAAAGCTGCAACTCCACAACGAACAGTGGTACCACCCAATGATGGACAGCTTCGCGCAGGACTGGCCAACGCTGACCCACACAGACAATGGCCTGGCCATGGACCAGCTGAGCGGGGTGGTGGGTGGCGGCGACCTGCCCGGCGACGTGGGCTTCGAGCCACAGACACGTGCCAGATCCAACACATGGCCCTGTCCACGGCCCGAGAACTTTGTGGAGCAGGCCGACGAATTGGACAGTACAAAGGCCAGCAATCAGCAATTGGCAGCAGGAGGTAGGCATTTGTATCTTCTGTGTCCGTATCTGTGTAACTAACGCATTTGTATCCTTCTATCCACAAAGACTCACAGCAGGCTATACAGAATGCGAATGCAGCCAAAAAGAATTCATCGCGTCGCAATGCATGGGGAAACCTATCCTATGCGGATCTCATCACGCATGCCATTGGCTCCGCCACCGATAAGCGTTTGACCCTCAGTCAGATCTACGAGTGGATGGTCCAGAATGTGCCATACTTTAAGGATAAAGGCGATTCGAATAGCAGTGCCGGATGGAAGGTAAGGATTGTAAAAACACTTTTCAAGAATTTTATCTGCTATATTCTACGCTGTTTTGGGAGATAACATTTCCAAATGGACATTATTTGTCATCTGAAATGGTTACAGCTTCCTTTTGAAACATATATGGGTGGAAATCCTATCCCTACCGCTTTCTGCAATCTTCTGAAACCATCTTGATCGATTCAGACTCACTGGGAGAGAGAAGGGAGCATCGATTGCTACTGAGAATTTGTTTTGTAAGAACTTTTTGAAGATATTACGAGTGTTTTCCACCTGACCAAGGGCATTGAGAGATTAATTATGGAAGTGGAATTATATTATCAGATATTCTCAGAATAAAATTGTCATCTATTATATTTGATAAGTGTTACCACATAAATCCCTTTCTTCTGGCCTTCTGTCCTTCGCTGATTTACATTCGGAGGAGGTGCTCTAAAAGTTTCGTTTCCACTTTCTCTGGACACTTTATTACAAAATTTACTCCACTTAAGCGGTCTACCAGGTCTTCAGCTTCATCTTTTACTTCCACTTCCACTTCCAGTTTTCTTTTTCGTTTTTTCTCTTTTTTTTTTTTTGAGAGCTTTCTGCTCTGTACTATTGTATTTTGCTCTGTGTCATAATGGCTTGCTCTTTTGGCTTTCAAATAACAATTTCATTCGCATTTCGAGCAACAAACACGGGCCGTAAAACGGTCAAGTTCATGGCCAAAGTCTATAAAATGGAGAAGAGAGAGAAGGAGATAGGGAACAGAGGGAGAAAGTGAGACGAAGTGAAGTCTTTGTTTGGCTTATATATTTTTTTTTTGTAGCTTTGTTTTCTTCCACATTTTGTATGCATTTTTGTTGTATCCAAAAATTATTTCATATTTCTCTTTCTCGCTGTCCACTTTCCCTCTCCTTTTCGCAAATCTTGTACTCCTTTCTCTCCTCTGTTTTCGGTTTGGAACTCTGTCTTTTTTCTTTTCTTTGATTTCTTGTATCTTTTATTTACATTTTGTTTGCACTCATTCATAAGTAAATAAATAGAAGAGTGTACACTCGTTTATGCATTCAAAACATTCACACACACACACACACACACACTCGAAACACTCATCCATAAACATGGATAAATGCGTACTACCTCACGCTTCATTTTCATTCATACTCAGAGACCGGTCCGCCGGGCCAGTGCCCCTCCAAAGACAATCCGAGACAGAGTGTCCGATCCACTCAACTCTGACCCCAAGCCTCTTGTGGCTCATGTCTCAACAGTTGCGTATTCATTTGCTTAGGAATGATAGAACTTTACGTTCAATTGGGATCAGGGTTGCAATTGTCGGTTGGACGTCTGTTATCGGTTAATCGTTTGTTAATTAATGTAATCGGTATGCGGGATAAGAGCTTTATGATTGTTATTCGTCTCTGTAATCAGTCTATAGATAATCGTTGATAAAAACTCTATAGATTGCTTTTCCAAACCACTTCCAGTCCATGGATCTCAACTATTTTGATATTATTTGTTTGCGAAGAATTATAAGAATAGAAGAGAATGGTAGAAATTGAGTAAATATCGAAAGCTGATAATCACTGATGATAGCATATACATACAACATTTCTAGAAGTAAGGTTTCAAAACCGAATCATCACCATTTTATAGAAGCTGTGGAATCTCTAGCTTTAATTAGGGCGCATCCCATCACATGATTACTATCTTATCCAAAAACCTCCCCCTAATATTAATAATTGTTTCCATTTTGAAATTATAACAAAAATCTATACAACATTTTTTTTGATTTCTGTTTAATATTTCGTGGTAAATCTTTTCGTTTTCATGGCATGGTTTTTGTTGTTGTTGTTGTTGTTGGTGTATTTCCCACTGATAACATACGCTTACATAGCCAAAAGTATCTGTGTGTGTGTGTGTTAATAATGTAGATTTTTTGCAATGTTATCAATAATTGCCACAAGTTCATTGACATCCTGCACAGTCTGCCATCTTTTCGTATATTTTGTTTGTGGACTTAAGAATTAGAGGATGTCCATCACGAAAATCTCTACTGATAGATAATTTTATGGAGGGGATTTTTGTTTGCTTGGACTTTTTAGAGCTTCGATTTTAGTGATGACTAAAACGCACTCGTTCCTGCAGGTCATGCAGCAGCGCCCCTCGGTCTATGCTTCAATCTTTCGATGGACGAATCAGTCCGTACTCCCCATTGATCACGTGTTACTCATTTTGTCCATGGTGCTATTCAACCCTGATTCCCCCGAACCCCTTCCCCTTTGGATGGGTTCCTTCCGTTCATAAAAATCATTCGATCTACTCATATTTCTTCGTTGACTGCAGTGCGTCATTCACGTGATTGTTTTCTTTACCATTCATTTTTGCTGATATTTCATAACCCGCAACTAACCGAACCCCCCCCACCGAACCGCTCGCTGGCTTTTGGCACCTCGCGAGTGATAAAAAAAAAAAAAACAATTGAAGAATGCGCTGAAAATACGAAATCGAAGACGTAGTCCCTCCGAAAGCCCGATACCCGAACCTCCCAGACAGCGCGCTTCCAGAGAATTGTTTTTGACTTCTTTCTTTTCATTCTGTATTTTGTATTTTTTGTTTTGTTTTTTCGTGAGTTTCGTGAACTAATATTTTCATTATTTATATTAATGTGCGATGATGATTGTTTATAATTGTTTCGGTTGTTTGTCTTCGAGGGTTTCACGGAAGTAGTCGCTCGCATGGGCCCCCAGACGTACCCCTAACCCGAACTCGACGAGGTCCCCCCATTTTGGGTACTGTTCTGTTTTTGATTACGAGTTTATGGGCTGCGTTGCGGGAAATAACAATCGAAAACGTTGATAAAGAATTTCGTACTAATATTAGGAGTATTTACGCGTCGTAGAAATCCGCTTCGGTTGAACGGGGGAGAGAGGGGAGAGAGTTTCTGGGAAAAGAAAACTGCAATCGTTGCAGAGTTCTTTTTAGCGGAACTCCTCAAAGAATGCGAATACTCGTACATTCAAGCACTTCCAAAGAACTAAACACACACACAAATTCCCCTACAGACACATCCTCGAGTCTCTATTTATAGACAGTTTTCTTTGGATATTGAAAGGAAGAGTTTTAGAGGCAGTCTCCCTTTTTGCACATTCCTTCAAGAAATGTTTTGTGGACCTCTGCGGCTAATTTATGCAACACGTTGCCTGTTCTACCTGACACTTGCTTCCTCTGCATTTCGAAGCGAAAGGAGCTTCCTCTTCGAACACTCGTCGTAATAATAAAGAACGAAACGAGCGAAACACTCAAATGACATTTGTGGAATTTTAAATTCTTTTTTTTCTTGCCACTGCATTTCGAAGGCTTCTTCGGGATGGTGGACTGACTGACTGGTGGCTCGTGGCCACCACGTTTTGGCCTGTCTGCATCATCCACCCAGCCACCACCCAGCCACCACCCAGCCACCAGCCACCACCTCCTCCTCCTCCTCCTCCTCCTCCTCCTGCTCATCCTCTGTAGTTTTGGCCATTGAACCGGTGCCAAGTATTTCCCTCCTTCCTTGCCTCTGCTGCTCCTTTTATCAATTTATTTTTGTGTTTCTTTTTTGCGGTTTTATTTTTTTTTTTTTGAATCTTTTAATTGGCAGCGACCCGCAACGTGTTATAAATATTCTTCTTGGAGGCCCCGCAACATTTTCATGGTTTTTATTCCGTCATTTTTTTTCCATCTTTTTTTTCGTAATTATGTTTGGAAATTTCGTGTAATTTATGGATGCCTTCTTAGGTGGCATCACAGATATAGGAATTTATTTCCTGATTTTAGTGGCGAGGTGCGGGAAAGGTGAGGAATGTGGAGGAGGGTGGGGGTGTTGCCAGTGTGGGATGGATTGGGTTTGGGGGCTAAAAGATCAGATGGTGTTGAAGGATGTTTGAAAGATTTATATGCTCTTCTACTAGGGGGAAAAGAAAAGATGGAAGATTGAATGGAATACTAAGAAGAATTGGCAATGCCAATGTTTAAGACAAAACAGAAGAATTGGTGGAGGAAAACGCAACTAAGATGTGGAAAAAGAACGAGAAAGATTGTAGGGAAAGCTATAGAAATGGGGAAGAAAGAGCCAGAGAGAGAGGGATGGATAAATAATGATTTTTGGTGGAGATCTAAGGATTTGGAGGATTGGAGGATATTGGTTTTTAATTAAAATAATAAAAAATAGTCAGAAGAAGGTTGTTGCACGAACAAAAATTTTAGTATAAATATGCAGAATATCTGCTGATAAAAAACAGGGTTCTACATTTGGGGAAAATTAAATATTATCAGAGAAAAGTAGTACAAAAAGCAGAAAATCTCCCAATTTATTTATTTATTTTGTATTTAATTAACAAAGCTTATAATGAAACTTAGATACAAAAGGAGGAAAGAAGAGAAATTGAAAGTTTTTTAAGTTTAGGTAAAGTTTGTAAATATTACATGCTATTAGCTTAAGGGATAGTTCAGGGGATGAGGTATGACAGAGGGAGTTAGAGTTGTGGCATATAACCCTAAAAGGTTCATCTCGGGCATAATGTGACCTACATATGGGTAAGCGGATTGGTCGAAAAGTACGGGTAGGTCTAGATGGAAGATACTGAAGATAAAGATACTGAGCAAATTCTATTCCATTCCTAGAAGCTGCTCTTCTTGAAAGATTTGGAACACTCAAGAGGAAAGTGGTACAATTTGCAGTGAAAGATAATGAAGGACCGGACCTAAAAACCCTGAAGAAGATACTGCAGAACCATAGGCATTCATAGAAGCTTCTGTTGAAAATATTTTCTGCACCTTTTCCATTGATATTTGGGTGATTTTTTCTTTGAAAAGAAAAAATAAAGCACAATCTAAGTAAAATCTAATACAAATGTAGAAGGAGCTGCATTCCAAGAGAATGTTGCAAAACAACTTCTTGAAAGGGGATTTCCAATGAAAGTTTCTTCTGTGGAAAATTCCTTTGCCCCTTTCAAATGCCTTGTACTATCTTA